TGTGTAAGGTAAGATTTGAAATGAAAAAACCGTTATTGAGGAGAGAAAATAGTTCGAATTATTTGCTAAATATAACGAAAATAACTAAATAAGATCGTTATATTTGTGGGGGATGAAGGTGTCTTGTGATCTGGAAAAATTGTGTAAGGTAAGATTTGAAATGAAAAAACCGTTATTGAGGAGAGAAATAGTTCGAATTATTTGCTAAATATAACGAAAATAAACCCAATAAGATCGTTATATTTGTGGGGGATGAAGGTGTCTTGTGATCTGGAAAAATTGTGTAAGGTAAGATTTGAAATGAAAAAAAACGTTATTGAGGAGAGAAAATAGTTCGAATTATTTGCTAAATATAACGAAAATAACTAAATAAGATCGTTATATTTTGTGGGGGATGAAGGTGTCTTGTGATCTGGAAAAATTGTGTAAGGTAAGATTTGAAATGAAAAAAACCGTTTTGAGGGAGAAAATAGTTCGAATTATTTGCTAAATATAACGAAAATAACTAAATAAGATCGTTATATTTGTGGGGGATGAAGGTGTCTTGTGATCTGGAATAATCGTGTAAGGTAAGATTTGAAATGAAAAAAAACCGTTATTGAGGAAAGGAAGCACGTGGGTGGAGTTGGTAAGGTTAAGCCGTCTGTTTATTAAGAAAATGTCTTCAAGTCATAATCTATCAGCTGATTTGCTTTCTTTTTGTCGTTATTCCTTCAGTTTCCTTGGTACCCGCCCAATAAACAATGTTTTTTCTTTCTTTTTCTTTTTTTTTACTTCTTCCGGAATTCCATCTCCCTCTCCTTCTCTCCTCTTATACCTCTCGTTTCTTCCTATTCCCTTTTCTTCTTTTTTCTTTTTTCTTATTTTTAGTTCATCCGAAATTTCATCTCCCTCTTCTTCTCTCCTCTTTCCCCTCCCGTTTCTTCCTATTCTCCCTTTGATTCTTTGTCTTTTTTCGCTTTAGTTCGAAATTCCATCTGCCTCTCCTTCTTTCACCTTATACTTCCCGTTTCTTCCTATTCTCCCCTTTTTCTTCATTTTCTTTTTCCTTTCTTTTTTTAGTTCGAAATTCCATCTCCCTCTCCTTCTCTCCTCTTCTCCTTCCCCTTTCTTCCTAATCCCCTTTCCTTCTCTATCTGACCGCAACCCCATTCCTCCCTATCGGAACGCCGCAATTATTATCCATTATTCCTTCTCCTTTTTCCGAAATCGCCTTAGCGGTGTTGGTCACGCCAGTGTTGCCAATCTAGCGCTTTTTTACGCTAGATTTGGCGTGTCGCTTCTCGGGTGGCGCGCTAACGTCTTATTTAGCTCTCACACACGCACACGCACGTACCACACGCATGCACATACACATACGCACACGTACACACGCATGCACACCACACACACCGCACACGGACACAAGAACGCACACCACAGACAAGCGCGCAACACGCATGCACACCACATTCACACACGCACCAGCCATGCACACTACACACACACACACACCACATCGCGCATGCACACATACACATACGCACACGGACACTACACGGAGAGAACACACATCACTCGGACACGGACACGCACACGGAAAGAACACACACACACACACACAACACAAATAAATGTATACGTCATTTAGAAAGGGACCAGTGTTATTATTATTTTTTTTTTATAATGATAAACCTATGTCGATTCCTATTATATAAAAAGATGCTAACAAAGGATATAAAAAAAAAAAAAAAAAAAAAAACGAGAAACAAAACTTAATAAAAGCAAGAATAGATAAATAAGCATAAATAAAGAAAGGAATAATGACTGTAGCGTTCACTCTAATTCTCACGCTCAAACAGGAGGGAAAAAACGTCATATTCAATCAATCAAATTTCCCGCCTTTGCGTGACGTCAGAGGCGCCACTGTGACGGTTAATCATGACGTCACAACATTATTTCCCGAAAAAAAAAATGTTTCCCACGTTATATTTGTCAATTTCGGTGTTTTTTTTTTTTTTTTCATTTCGTTTCATGATAATCTATTCATAATAGTGGCTTGAGGTTATGATGATGACAGTGATAATGACCAAATTATTTGAGATATTGATGGTGATTAGATAGAGTTTCAAAAGATGAATGGTAATATTATTTCAGGGGAGGCTGGGTTTATCTTCTGGAGTGATAATTCTGCCATTAACCTAAAAAAATGAATAGGTGTTTGATGAAATGATGGCGGTTTATGAGAGGTGTTGTTTGATGATGTTTTTTTTTTGCGATTTATTTGTTGATTGATGTACATATTACTTGTTTTTATTCTGCTTCTGCGTCTGATAAAATCTCCTCTGTCCTCTCTCCTCTCTCTCTTTCTCTCTCTCTCTCTCTCTCTCTCTTCTCTCTCTCTCTCTCTCCTCTCTCTCTCTTCTCTCTCTCTCTCTCTCTCTCTCTCTCTCTCTCTCTCTCCTCCTCCTCCTTTCCCTCTCCTCTCCTCCCACCTCCACCCTCTCCTCCTCCTCTCCTCCTCTCTCACCTCCTCCTTCCACCCTCCTCTCTCTCACTCCTCTTCTCTTCTCTCTTCCATACCGCTGAATAAATATACCAAGTGGTTGTAAACGGCATATGCATTTTTCTATCATTAACTGGAAAAAAAACGCAGCTGCTATTCCCAGATCATAGATTAGCAGGGCTGGGAACACTGCAGCAATAATAGCAATCTAGCGAAAAGCAAATGTAGCAGAAAAAAAAAAGAATCCAGCGCTAACCGAACCGGCATCACCCATCGCAGCCGCTACAATCACGTCGTATCTCCGGTTATAACGATTCTTGCAACAACGCGCAACCACGAGAGAACCTAGTTTTATCTTTGCCATTTCCTAGTTTGCATATGCAAGACCGTCACGCAACTCCCGCGGTGCCCGAACGGATGGTGCCAACTGCGGAGATAACTACCTTGGCACCTCCTAACAACCTCGTTAAAACGTTCGCGTGCTCACCTTTTGGCTTCGGCTTTAACGTAACCAGCGCTTGCATGGCAGTCTTGTGAATCGTTCCACTTTTGCCGTTTCGTCATGACTTGGCTTGGTATGCATAACAAGACCGGTTTGATCATCTTAATCCGAGGTTGGGAAATACTTTCATTGTCTCGGGCTTGGCTACAGCTTCGTTAGGGGTTAAATGCCTCGTTAAAAAAATGATAGAGGCACGATTTTGTTTTTTATTGGGTTTATCTGTATTATTTTTCCTAAGATTTTTTTCGGTCATGTTATTTGTTTTTCCTTTGTAGGTCTGTGGATAGTTGTGATTTGTGTGTGTGTGTGTGTGTGTGTGTGTGTGTGTGTGTGTGTGTGTGTGTGTGTGTGTGTGTGTGTTTGCCTGTGCGTGTGCGTGCGTACGCACACTTCAACACACACGCACACGTAGAGGCCTATTTATATTAATATGTGCTATATATATTTATGTATGTAGGTAAATGTGAGCATATATGCATACACATGTGTGTGAATTGAAAGTTAACATTTTCTGTTTCATCGTGAAGTTACAGCAAGAACGGTACAAAATAAGCACTCGCAGTGTTTCATAAGCGAATATATTTGCACGCCTGGGAAAGAGTATAGTGATGAGGCAGAATATACCTTCATATGCGCTATGAAAAAAAATCGTAACGTCTATGAAATGATCTGTCTTTTAACTGAACTTTATTACAGCATTCGAGCGGGTAATATTGTCTTTATATATATATATATTTTTTTTGGATTCGTTTCAGACCCGCATTGAAATCCCGAGGAAACTGCACGGCATAAATTTTCATTTTTCAACAAGAGTTTCGCTATTTCTCGCGGAGTCTTGTAATTTCTCGCGAAGTCTCGAAATTTCTCGTGAAGTCTCGGTTATTTTCCGGAAAGTATCGCAGCTGTTTCTCGAATTGTTTTTTTTACATGATCATTTTCACCATCGTCGTCGTCACCGTCATTATCAACACCGGTCATCACCACTACGCCACCACCATCACAAAAGCCGTTATCATTATCTTCACAATCATGTTCATCACCTTCATCATTAGTATCATCACTATTACAATCGTTATCATTATCATCGCGATGGCTATTATCTTCAACACCATCTTAATTATCATCATGGTACCACTACCACTGCCATTATCATCTTTATTATAATCAATGTTTGCTATTAGTCCATGTATTCAGTAACTTTCCCGCAAGGTTTTATAAGGTAATTTTAAGAGTTCGACATTCACTAGGTAATTAAAACCATCTGTACAAGGTTATTACGCGTGGGAAAGAAAACTTAAAATTAAAGAATTGAAACAAAGGTTGAAAAAGAAAAAAAAAGAAATAAACCGTTACGTTTCGTTACGCTTCGAGTTGGAATATCTCTCTCTCTCTCTCTCTCTTCTCTCTCTCTCTCTCTCTCTCTCTCCTCTCTCTCTCTCTCTCTCTCTTTCTCTTCTCTTTCTCTCTCTTTCTCTCTCCTCTCTCTCTCTCTCTCTCTCTCTCTCTCTCTCTCTCTCTCTCTCTCTCTCTCTCTCTCTCTCTCTCTCTCTCTCTCTCTCTCTCTCTCTCTCTCTCTCTCTCTCTCTCTTCTCTCTCTCTCTCTCTCTCATCTCTCTCTCTCTCTCTCTCTCTCTCTCTCTTTCTCTTTCTCTTTTCTTTAAGACGTTACTGCACTAGTCTTCTTGGACGAAAAGGTGTCACGTCCAATCAATAGATGGCGCGCGTGTGACAGTACCTTGAACATGAACTTGCTGTTTCAATTGTGTTTCCAGTCCACATCATCATTATGCCATTATTGCCATCATCATTATTTTCCCCTATTTCTCCTTGACTCCATTCCCAGGGCGACGATTGTAGTAAGGTACAATCACTAATTATTTCCTAGATGGGAGAAAATTTTATTTGTGAAATGAAGTATGTGATTTTGTTATGTGATTCTTGGTTTTATGCTAAGTTCTGTGTGTATTCGTAATGGCACTGTGATATATATGTAATTTTTGTTTTCTTTTTCAGAAGACTGTGGTTATAGACTATGATGAGGATATTGGGAAAGTGAGTTAAAGTTTGATATTCAGTGAAAGAGAAAAATTATAAATATAGTGAGTTTACGCAATTTAAAAAATATATATATTTATCAATGGTGTTAATTTTTTGTTAAACTGGAACGTGTGATTTGCAAATTTAAAGAAAATAGAAACTGGGGAAATAAAGAGCGAAAAAAAATCATTCCCCCAAAATAAACTGAACATAATGGAAAACTCCAAAAGAAAATGAGAAGTTGTAGAAATGCCCGAAGGGAGAGAGACAGCCGGTGGAGAACAGTAGATAAATAAGATAAAGTAAAAAAAAAAAAAAAATTAACCAAAAAAAAGATACTTGACTTTAACACTATACGTATATATAGATAAAAAAATATATCTATAGATCTCCCGTCGATATGGTGAGGATAACGTGCCCAAGCCAAATATGATGAAAAGATAAGCCAATGATAGCCATAGTTTAAATAGATAATTTAGAAAAGAAATAAGAGGTATCCCGCAGCCAAGACGATGAGGGTGACAAATGCCATCATCTGGACGATCTGCATCAGCATCATCGTCTTCATTTGCGTCCTGTGGTTCGTCATATGCTACATAGGCCTATGCAAGCTGCGGAGGAAGAAGAAGAAGGAGCTGCTGCCGGTCTTCAACCTCCATGCGCATCAAGGTAGGCCTACTGTCCCGTTTCTGTGTGTTTCTTTTTTTTTTTTTTTTTTTTTTTTTTTTTTGGGGGGGTGGAGGGGGATGAAGGGAGCGAAGGGAAGGGGATAAGGGAGAAATGAGGAAGAGATGGGGAAGGGGAGGGGATGAGGGGATGTGAGAGAGAAGGAAGGGGGAAAGAGATTGGGGGGAGGGGAGGGAAGAAAATGAGGGAGATGAGCGGAAGGGGGAATGGGGGAAGGACTGGGGGGTAGGGGGTTGAAGGGAGAATGAGAAGATGGGGAGGGAGAGGGAAGGGAGGAGATGG